TCATGGATTGCTTGATCCTAGAAAAGGTGCTTTATAAGTATTGGAGTTCACTACTAAAATGGCTCCTCTCTACTTTAACACAGGAATAATTCGAAATAAATCTTTAACCTTCTCTGGAAAGATCTACTATAAAAGAGCATAGATGAACAAATGACTCAGTGCCACAGGCTAGAAATAAATGTCTATCTGCCTATTTCAACTTTTATAATCACACTATTTTTACCATAGCAATTAAAAGCTCTGATTGAATATATGTAGACCTAATTCATAAAAACAAGGAGATAAAATAACTCTCAAATGTAAAAATGCAGTGTTTTGATAGGTCAAATCTTTATATAAGGTCCTTTATGAAGGTGACTGGGAACCACTCATCCATTCTAAACTTTATATTTTCACCAGTGAGGAAATGAGAAGTCCTGACTAGAGTAGTGGCTTAATCTGGGTGACACAGGGAGGGAAAAACAAACCTTGGGGCAAGTTCATAGAATCAAATAATTCTGTCATCAGAAGGACCTTAGATGCCACTGTCTGGCCATGCCTATTGATGTGCCTGTCCCCAGGCCCACCTGCCAGCTCTGGACCAGGAGTTTCTTGTGGTCAGAGCTGGGTCTTTCTGACCTCTGCATAGTTCCCTAAATGGATACTAATTGTGCCACAGAAAGAAGCACTTCATTGCACAGATGAGGAGACTAAAAGAGGGGAAGGGATGCAACTGGTCCTACATGAGGACAGGGGTGGGAGGTACTAAAGTGTCTTGCTATCTGCCTCTCTTTTCCACGCCTCCTTGCTCAAAGAGTCAGGACATCCCTCATTTCTCCACAAATGACTTCTCTTATTTCTCCACAAAGCCACAGGCAAAGGTTTTTATGGATCAGTGGCTAACCAAGGCCACAGACACTTCAAGAGGTCACAGGCTGATCCTGTCAACTCATTTTTTTAAAAAGTGTTAACGACTATGTTTTCTACTATGATTTGAAAACTCTCAGCACCTCCATGCTGAAAACATTTTAAACTGACCCTCAAATTCAGGCAATGAAACACAGACCCGTTTAAATGGTCACCGGCAAAATAACTATTGCCAAAGCCTGTATTATAATTATTATTCACAGTTGTGAAAAATATACTTTGCTTTATAGAGCACTTTCATAGATGCTAAGTTGCTTAGTAGTTGAACAACTATTTCTGAAAATTTTGCTCTCTCAAAATAAGTTAGTGACTGTACAGTTAAAATGGGTGAACTTACTGTATGTGAATTATACTTCAGCAAAGCAAATATCACAAGTGACTTTTACTGTCTTCCTTGGGGATTTCTGTTTTCCTTAATGGAAGAAAAAAGAGAACAACACAGAAATGGAGGAAGACAGGTTGTTGAAAAACAGGAGACCCACGTTCAAGGTTCTTCGGCCTGCACACAGTCTCCCCTGACAGCCAGGTGTTGAGACACAGCTGAAGGTGAGGGATATGTGTGACAATGGGGAAATCACACCTCCATTCCCACCTCCATTTTCTCCCTGGTGACTGCCAAGCCTGGCTCTCCCAGCTGTGACAAGTCTTTAATGAGGAGGGCGGCCAATGCCAGTCATGAGAGGTCACCATGAGCTATACCCACCCTGCACCCCTAGCAAGTATCAATGTACCCAAAACCTCCTTGGGGCAATCTTGTCATGGTCTCCCGGGCCCTCCCATCTTTACAATGACCAGATAATTCAAAGACAAAGAAAATAGATGGAAGTTGAAGAGGAGGGAAGGAGAAGGACCAGAGAGAACAACTACAGACCAGCCACCCAGCTTTATCAAATCCTGACTTTCTGACATATTTGCTTCAGATCCTTTCACTTTTATATCACAGATATAATTAAATTCCGTGTTCTTCTCTCTTTATTTCAGTCAGTCTCATTCTTCCCTTCTAAATTTGGCATCTTTCATTTTCCACACACAGTTTTAATATTCCTACATACCACCTGATGGTATAACTAAAAATATATACATAGTTTACTTTTGAATGTTTTCAAGAAAATTTTTTGTGTGTGATACTGGGGATTGAATTCAGGGGCTTTGTAATAAACTACATCCTCAGCCCTTTTTTATTTTTTATTTTTGAGACAGGATTTCACTGAGTAGCTAAGTGGCCCAGGCTGGGCTTGAATTCAATCCTCCACCTCAGCCTCTCAGTGCTGGGATTACATGTGTGTTCCACCATGCCCAGCTTGAAAAAATGATTTGTATCACGCTGTACCTATGCTACAAATTGATGTTTGTTTTTACCTAAAGTGTATATATGTTGAGGCTTAAAACCTTAGTTTTACTTTCAGTCTACTATTGCATGATTAGGTCATAATTTATTTAGACTGCTGTGTAAATGTCTAATTTTTGCAATTAGATGTTGAATGAGGAGGAGTCCCTAAATTGTAGGTATGAGTATCTTCAACTTTATGAGATCTTGCCAAACTGCTACCCAAATTATACCAAATGTATACATCTCCATCAGTGGTGTATAAGGGTGCAGCGGTGCTACCTCCTCATGCCCTCCAGGGCCCCAAATCAACAGACTTCTTACATTGCCAGTCTCCTGAGTGTAAATGAGGTAACATGGTTCTTTTCATTTGCATCTCTCACATGACCAGTGAGGCTCAACATCTTTTCATAGTTTTGGCCTTTTTAGCCATTTAGGTTTCTTCTTTTGTGAATTACCTGTTAATATCCTTTATCCATTAAAAAAACACAATAACTTGGATTTGACAGCCCACTGAACTCCCTCCACCTGGAACACCGACCTGCCATTTCTGCATTCTATCTAAATGACACCTTTTCCGCAAAGCCTAGCCTCTAATTAACCACAAGTGTCACCCCACCTTTCTTATGGCATCATAAACTCCTGTCTTGCAGTGTTGCAACAACTTCTCATTTTGCATATTGCTTTGCAGCTTATCAAACCACCTGCTCCTTCATCACTTTATATCTAGACAGTAGCCTTTATCTAACCCTCATCTAGACAGAGTCTTATTACTGCCTTTGAACACGTCAGATTGGGACGAGTTCACCTAAGATCCCACAGTGGCTCAGAGGCAGGGCTGCTCTCAGAGCTGGGACTCCCCAGTTCCATGTCCAGGTCACCACACAAGTCCCTCTTATTGCTACTGGCCCTTGCTACATGCTCCAACAGTGACTCCCCTACAAGATCCTAAGTCTCCTATTCACCTCTATGCCCCAAGCTCCCAACTCTAGCCCCACCCAAGGGAGCGCCCGAGGAGAATGGAATTCTTGAGAAGGCACAATAATCACCTTCTGTGTCCACTGGGTACCAGGGGCTTGCAAACATTACCTCCAGCCTTCCCAACAGTCTATCTAAACTGAGGGTTAACAGTGGAAATGACACTCTTGGGTTCCGCAGCCAGGAGTAGGTGGAGCTGGCCTGTGAGCCGCAGAAGGGTGCCTTCCCCCACAATCTCTGCCCTCTCACATCTTGGTCTAAGGTACACCAGGCCAGCTCAGAAGCTGATGTGAATGTTCTGCTCACATCTTTATCTTGCCTGCACTGGACACATGTTCTCTCTGCGTGGCAAGGGTGAGTGGCATATTCTTCCAGGTCCCCTGGGGACTCAGATTTGCTGGGAGCTTGGGGGGGGGGTACTGGGAGACCCTGTCTGATGGGGCTGCTGCCAGCTTTCTTTCCAGGCTTGGGCAGAGGGGAAGCGGGTGCTCAAAACTACTGGGGATCACAGAGCCAGAATGGAGCAGTAAGGCAGGAGGGGCAACAAGACTGAGGGAGGGGTGGAAGGAAGTGAGGAAGGGGTGAGAGTACCCTTCATCTCAGGCTGAAGAAGTGAGGCAGAGGCCCAAAGGTGGGTCACTCCACAGAGAGCAGCTCTGGGGGAGTGTACGGGTCACACCCATGACTACAGCCTCCTGGTGGTGTCTGCCACTAGTAACAGTGGCAGGTAAGGTGGGCACTGGGGACTGAAGGCAGGGATGGCGATGGGGGTTTGCTGGCCAGAGTTCTCCCCAGCCCTGTCTCTGAAGGGTGAGCCTGGCAAGTCTGCCTTTTCTCCAGAAGGCAGGGACCTTATCTGATTGGAGCCATGCCCACTGTCTCAATCTGTTATCTTATGACTCTGTCTTTCATTGCGTGCCACTTACTCACGTGTTGGGTTTGCATGTGTGGTGCATGAGATTGATCTTGTGTTATATTTCGGTGCACCGTGTGTGTGCAGTTTACAGCTGTATTCTTGTGTGTCTGTGTTGTTACATATCACAGCCCTATGCATGGTATGCTTGTCACCTTGTATTCACCTCCCTCCAAGTTCTGCTGGGTCTGTGCTGGGAGCACGTTGCTGTCCTTGTGTGTGTCTACCTCTGAAGACTGTGTGCACGGTAGTTCGTTGTACGGTGTTAGCGTTAGCTGTGAGGTGTGTGGTGACTTCTGTCTGCGCTGGTGCGCTGCGTGTGTGTCTGGGTCTCTGGGTGAAATGTCCATGTTGTAATGCAGGTGCTGGGCGACCCGTTTGGGTTGTCCTGGGTCTGCGGCTATGCCATGTCCCCACCCCACCCCGCTGTGCCTGTGCAGCTGCCAGCAGTGCCCCGTGCGGTGCGCAGGACTCAGTTTCCTCCATCAGTGGCCCGCGGGCTGCGCCCTGGGCGCGGAGCGGTATTTCCGCCGCGGGACCGAGCGGGCCCCAGGCTCTGCGTGTCTGCACGGCGGCGGGCGGGGACCGGGCGGCCGCGAGCTCCAATGGCGAAGCCGGCGCGGCCCCTGCTAATTACATAAGCGGGACGTCAATAATTCGCGGGAAAACGCGAAAAAGATGGCGTCCCGCGCCCGGGGGGCCCCTTCCTG